GAGTCTGCTTTTCTGGGGTGCAGGAGGGTTCGCCCTGGGTGTGTCATTGTCGTCGCAGTGTGTGGTCCTGTCAGGAAGTGCCCTGGAGCAGCCTCCATCTCTTCCTCTGCTCAGTCATATTCCCCAGCTCTCTTGGAATCCCTGGAGATCAGTGTTCAGACACCCCAAAGCCGCTTCCGTTCTTACATCCCTGACCCTAGTTGCCCTGGGCTGCCTGCACCTGTGTTGGCTAAGGCTAGCTGGTTCAGACAGGCAGCACTGACTAGCCCCTCTCTGTCAAACAGCTTCTTCTAGCCCAGTGGTCAATTATGGCATGCCCCCTGGATCAGGCCATCGGCCTTCTTGTGGCCATCTTCCACAAGTACTCTGGTAAAGAGGGTGACAAGCACACCTTGAGCAAGAAGGAGCTGAAGGAGCTGATCCAGAAGGAGCTCACCATTGGCTCTGTAAGTAGCCCCTGCCCAGGTTCCCCCTCCCACCTCTGTCCATCGGAGCGCTTTTACTGGCATTTACTCTTAGTTCCTGATCTTACTTCCCTTGGAGCTTGTATGCTCCCAGCCTGCTGAGGGAGGAGCAGGGGCTGAGAAGTAAATCAAGGTAAATCCAAGCTGAAGGCCCATCCTTGGTGACAATGAGCAGAGACACTTACATGAACAAGGACTTCCAGGGAAGGGGTAAGGAATCCAGGGCGCTGGCCACCACTGAACGTGGACGTCTCCTTCTAATGTATTAGAAACTGCAGGATGCTGAGATTGCAAGGCTGATGGACGACCTGGACCGCAACAAGGACCAGGAAGTAAACTTCCAGGAGTATGTCGCCTTCCTGGGGGCCTTGGCTTTGATCTACAATGAAGCTCTCAAATAAAATGGGAAGGTAGAGATGCCCTTTGGAGGCCTATCTCAGCCAAATCCAGTGGTGGGTAATTGTACAATAAATACTTTGTTTTTGTTACATCTACTTATTGTGCTCTGGCTCCCCACTGATTTCTAGTTGCTTCCTGGCTCGCTACTGAACTCACCATTTTAGTCACAGTTAATCTCTGAGAATAGCTCATTGACCTACAAAGTCTGCTAGCTCACTAAGGAGTCTTTATTGGAAAAGGTGTCCCCTCTAGGCAAAGCCACCTTCAACAAAGGCTCAAGTGATCTCCAGGAGGGTCTGGGGTGTTACATAGAGTTAGGGACCACTAGAAGCAGGGCAGTAATACTCCCACTTGTCTTCCAGAAGACATGCTTTGGTCTGGGTGTGGTGAGAGGGAAGTACTACTAGATGGGCCCTGACGTTGAGCAATCCACCTTTTCACTGTGTGTTCATGTGTTATATGAGGGAGGGGTGGGGAAGGGCACGTCTGAGATGCCTGAAGTGACCAAGGACACATACTGAGTTTTCTGCAGCTGCCTTGGTCCAGTTGGAGATGGGGCACACTTTAGGACTCTGTCCCTGCTTTCACTATAAGGTGCTTTTTGTTGGGGGTGGTGACCCGAGCAGCTGGCGGTTCTGTGAACGTGTGACTCACGAGGTGCTCACAAACAGGGCAGAGTTGGGGTCCTTAGACATGCCAAATGTAGCTTCAGGCCTTTCTGTCAATATTGACCCAGCCTGTCCCTGCAGAATGACTCACGGGGCTACTCCCCTGGAACCCAGCTGAGCCCTACTCCCCATCAGAGTAGAAGGCCAATTGAGTTACTGTCTGTATGTACATTAAGACTTAAATCATAGGCTTAGGGAAAGCTGTGATTTGTCTGGGTGTCACGGAGACAGCATTTGCTGATATTCCTTCCCGGAAGGCCTAATCCAAGTTGGGCAACATCTTGGCCAAAATCTGAGGGGAAAAGATCTTGACTTCATGTGGAGGCCATAGCCCTTTTCTCTTATTTCCCCACCTTCTCCAGTTAACCTCTTGGCATTAAGTAGACTTCCCTTGCATTGGCTGGGGGTTAGTAAACAGCAGCAGTGGAGTTTCTTGAAAACCTTCCTTCTCTGGTAGCTTCCTGGTCTCACTGCAGTGAGAGGGTCCCCGAGCCGACCTCCGTGGCTCTGGAAAAGTACGCTTAGGTCCTCGTCCACACCCAGTTGTTGATTCTTTGGGATGATCGCCCTCTTGTGGACAGAGGCAGGTTGCCTATGGGGAAGCGGGGGTGTGGGTGTGGGTGTGGGGTTGGGAGGTGGGGGCCCAGGAAGGGGAAAAGGAGCTTGGTGGAGAGAGGGAGGAAAGTCTAGTTGGCTTTCTGTGCCCCTGAGGAGGGGGCAACAAAGATGAAGCTGGGGATGGGAGTCAAAGCTTAGGAAGTCTGGGCTGTTCTAGGGGAGACACAATTCACTTATTCAGGGAATGTCACATGGGGGCATGGTTTAGTTTCCAGCAAACAATTGGATTTCATCTGAGGCACATTTGTTACAAGCAACTCAAGGGAGGGCAGGTTTCTGTTAAAAGAGGGGAATCTGAGCCTTTCCCTCCAGATACCTTTCCAGGGTTAGAAGACCAAGACAGTCAGCGGGGCTCTTGGAGGGGAGGGGGAGTTGATTGGGGTGCAGAGGCTGGTGGTGGAAAGAGATGTCTGGTCTCTCAGGAGGCTGACAGGCTCTGCTGTGTGTGTGTGGCCCAATGAAGAGAGGAGCAGAAGGTGAAGAGTCCATCTGCAAAATAAAACTTCATCTTTCTGGGTGTGGTGGTGCACCTTTTTTTCTATTTTAAAGATTTGATTTATTTATTATGTATACAACATTCTGCTTCCATGTATATCTGCACACCAGAAGAGGGCAGCAGATCTCATAACGGATGGTTGTGAGCCACCATGTGGTTGCTGGGAATTGAACTCAGGACCTCTGGAAGAGCTCTTAACCTCTGAGCCATCTCTCCAGCCTTGTGGTGCCCCTTTTTAATGCCAGCACTCAGGAGGCAGAGACAGATGAATCTCTATTGAGTTCTGGGCTAGCCTGGTCTACACATCGAATTGCAGGCCAGTCAGGGCTGCATAGTGAGACACAGTCTTAATGGAGAAAAAGGGGTGCGGCTTAAAAAAAAAAACAGAACAAAACAAAGTGAAATAAAATAAGTAACAAAACTTTTGTCTGGTTTGGGGATATAGTTTAAAACTGAGAAGTGAAGAGGCATTTACACGGGAAATTTTGGTGGGTGCAGCAGGCAGGGGGTAGAATTGGGTGTGGTCAGGTGCACACTGACTGTTTCATTTATCCACAAGATTTCAAGTTGGCTCTTGAGCATGGCCTAGGTTCCAGGGAAGGGGTAGAGCTGGGGACTTGGCAGTAGATTCCTTCCTCTCCCAAGGGGCATCCGCCACCTTTTCAGGCTTGTCAGAGCGAGTGGCTATGTTGGTCAGAGGGAGAGGCCCTGCTACCCCTTTTCCCGTAGTAGAGGTTCTGTTCTTCCCTCCCACTGCATACTTGGCAGTAATCCCATAGTCTAGTCACCCTTACACCCATGATGCTGGAACAGCAGCATCTGTTTCCATAAAGTGGTCAGGCCCCAGGTGGGGGGTTGGGGTGAGACTGGCTCAGGATGCGTTACTGGTCCTCTGTCAAGCACATCTGAAACTGTCAAGAACGAAGCACCACTTCCCACAGTGTCAGTGTCCCACAGCTCTTGCATTTGTACAAGGAGTCACTGTACCTACTGTGGCCTCATCTCCGAAGAATTATGTCTACTGTGTGTTACTAACCGCATTCAAGTGACAGGACAGAGTTGCAGGACCTCCACCAAGGTGGGGGAATAGGAGATCTGGGAGGGACTGCGCCCTCCTGACCCAGGCCAGCTCCTCCTCCAGTTTCTCTGCTGTTTCCAGATTTAATGTCACTATTCCTTCTTTGTATCATTCTCTTAAATGTTTTAATTAAATATCGAGAATATACAAACAGCTTATATATGACACCTAAAGTATACAAATTGCAACATGAAACACCCACTTTAAGAAACAAACATTTGGTTGAGATGGCTCAGTGGGTAAAGGCATTTGCTTCCAGCCTGCTGACCTGCATTTAATTCCTAGGATCCGCATGGTAAAAGGAGAGTGCACACATGCATGTGCACACATAAATAAATGCATGTAATATAATAAATAAATAAACAGGCTTGGAGAGATAGCTCAGCAGAGGCCTGGAACTGGGTTCCCAGCACCCAAGTGGGCAGCTCACAACAGCCTCAACGTCAGATCAGATGCCCTCTTCTGGCCACAGCATGCATGTGCACTCAATTGCACATTTTCCCCCTCCAACATGTATACACGTCTAATTAAAAACTAAACTTAAATCTTTAAAAGAGAGAAACACTGTAGAAGATATAGAGCGAGTGGCTCAAAGGGCCAGAGACACACCATTTGTGCACTGGTTCATTAGGGATATAATAAAGGAAGGAGAACAAGAGCAGGATGGAAAATATGCCCGAGGCCAGGCATGTGAGGTGGAGTGAAGCCCACTCTTGCCCTCTTTGGGAGCTCTACTCTCAAGGAACCTCTATCATCCAGCTATCTGAGCCCTCTTATTTGTTTGGTTTTATTCAGGGTCTCATGCACTCCCAGAAGCCCTTGACCTTGCTATTCCGTTAAGGCTGGCTCTGCTTTGAATTCCCCATTCTCTTCTCTCTCCCTTCCAAGTGCTGAGATTACAGGTGCATGTCACTATACCTGGCTTAAGCCTGATCCCTGTAGGTTATTTATAGAAACTTCATTAGGAAGCATGATTGATTACATTCCTAGTCATTGACCAAGTTTGCCTTCAGTCCTGGAGGGTGGCAGGTGGGGATGAAAGTGTCAATCATCTAACATCTGGGTCTAGTTAGGGTTACTATTGTTATGATGAAACACCATGAACAAAAGCAAGGTGGGGAGGAAAAGGTTTATTTGTCTTACACTTCCATGTAGTAGTCCATTACTGAAGCCAGGGCAGGAACGCAAACAGGGCAGGAACCTGGAGTCAGGAGCTGATGCAGAGGCCACAGAGGGGTGCTGCTTACTGGCTTGTACCTTATAGCTTGCTCAGTCTTATAGAACCCAAGACCACCAGCTCAGGGATGGCACCATCCACAATGAACTGGGCCCTCCCCCATTGATCACTAATTAAGAAAACACGTTGCAGGCTTGACTATAGCTCCTTTTATTTATTTTATATATTTTATTTTTGAGACAGGATTTCTCTATGTAACCACCGTAGCTATCCTGGAACTACCTCTGTAGACCAGGCTGGCCTTGAACTCATAGAGATCTGACTGCCTCTGCCTCCTGAGTGCTGGTATTAAAGGCAAGTGCCACCACCATCTGGTTATAGCTCAACATTATATTTTCTCAATTGGGGTTCCCTTCTCTCAGATGACTCTAGCTTGTGTCAAGTTTGACATAAAACTGTCTAGTACACATATAAAACACTTTCTTATCTCTCTGTAGATCCCAAGGGTTCCAGAAACCTTTGGGTGTCTGAAATGGGAGGAAGACCATAAGTCCACTTTAGAATGTCACAGTACGTCTGTTTCTGGCTTTCTTTTCCTTTTCCCCAGCTGATCTATTTCAATGCCGATACAAGGCATCCCGGTATATCTTACAATAATGTTTGAGATCTCCCACTTGTTCTTCATTTGCAGGATATTTTATCTATTATTGGCTTCTGCTTTAAGATATACACTTTAGGGGACTGGAGAGATGGTTAAGAGCGCTTGCCCTTCCCATAGTGGACTTGGGTTATGGTAGTTCACAAAGGCCTGAAACTCCAGTTCCTGGAGGAGCTCATGCCATCTTCTGGCATCCGTGGGAACTGCATGCATGTGGTACACTTACATGCCAACAAGACACCAATACACATAATACAAAAAATGAATAAGCCAGGCACGGTAGCACAGGCCTTTCATCTAGCACTCAGCAGGCAGATCTCTATGAGTTCCAGGCTAACTGAGGCTATGCAGAGAGACCCTGTCTCAAAACAAAATAAAACAAAACCCACACAACAACCCT